TGAAAGATCACAAGCACAAGGCACACAAGCCCAACCAAATCTTCTCACCTGCTGCTTTCTTTCTTAGCAGCTGTTGTTTACCATTTTCTAAGGTATATTGTCATCCTTCTTGGTGGTACAGAGAAACATGGCTTAAATTAGCTTCTATACAGGAAGTTCATCACAAGATACAAGAGTCAGTCCTCAAGAAGAAACCACAGAGACTCTATGAACTATAAGAGTAGTAAGCCTGTTACAAGGAACCCTTCTTCTTTACCTATTTTTTGCAAGAGAGCTTTCTTCTACACAGACCCCACCAATGTGTAATCTGAAGTGAAAAGGCGCTGAGACAGATTTGCAAAAAGGCAAATTTTCACTGCTTAGTCTAATCTTGAGAGCCAAGGCTCAAGGAGGGATGAGACACCTCCTTTGTTGCCGTAAGACAACCGATATCCACAAATTCTGGGTCTTTTTTTAGTATTTTTGCCTTGGGAGGCTGGGGAGTTGGAAACTGTTCTTCATTAACCTTCAGAAACATGGAAAGAGTTGTTTAAAATAGAAAATAACCCATCATACCAAAATACAGAGCTGAAAAATTTCAAACTACACTGCTTCTATCTTGAACATTATACTAGGGCACTTCAAGGCCTTAATAACATTGCAGAAAACCAGCATCCTCTGGCCTAGAATGGGCCTACCCATTCTACCACTGTGCAAGTGCCTGACACAACAGCTGATACTCTGTCCAAAATGTCAGGTGCACTTTGACAGTTAGCCCCTCAGATGGTGCCACATCTAGGGAGTCTGACAATTTGAAGGTGGTAAGGAGTTTCAAGGTAGGTGGATGAGATGTTTATTTTTGTCCATTTCTGAGGTCCAGCCTTACTTACTTCAACAGTATCTGTACTGTCTGCAGTAATTTTAAGTTTTGAATGGTCCTTCTCTTGTACCTGCACACACCCCTTGATGACTACGTTAATATGAACATCCTTATGCAAACAGACAACACTACAGTAATATGAATGCCAGTCAATGTACAGGTAATAAGAAGGCTTAAATGAATCAACAAAGACAACATTAATAAGGCAGCCTATTAATACTGAAGTCTCTGTGCCTCTCTCATCAGCTACATTCAAGTAGTGCTTAAAAAGTGCTTAAAGCATACATTTAGTATGCCACTTCAATCTCTAACAATTCATGCTAACTGCTAAATCTGATAGTATTTGCATATCTGATAATATTTGCATTAGCAGATTCAATAGTAGGCACTGGCATTCAGGAATGCCAGAATAGAATGCAGGTAGAAGAGTACATAACTACTCTTTTCAACAAGAAAAGAAGAAAAATCCACCCTGGGATGCAGCAAAGGGGCCATCTCCATAGGAGGGTAACCTATTTAGCAGGTCAGTTGGCCTTCTCAGGGATTAACTGCCTTTTGCTAGTGCAAAAAAGACTGATCTACTTGATTAAGAAGTAGGCATGACGAGTTGAAAAGGGAGTCACAGCTAGCCCTCTGCAGCTGTAAAAACTGCATGGCACGCAACCTTGAAGTCAACAGCATGTGTACAGTATAAAAGAAAACATCCAGGAGAGTGTCTTTCTTGGCAGGATCACTGAGGCTACTGCCCTTTCAAGTTCAGGATTCTGCTTCCAGGTGCAGCCAATTCAAAAAACTTGAAAATGATATGAACCTCTTCCCTATGCACTATTTCCTCTTCCCTTCTGCAAGGAATGTCATATGGGCACCTGTTGTCAACATGTTTGACAGTGGCTCGATGTCCAATCAAGGCTGTTGCATGTATGAGGGGAAAATGCAAGGACTTCCTGGACTATTTACGCATTTCATGGTGTCCTGCGCTTGCAACAGCAAGGTGTGTTGACAAGCTTAGAGTGCGTTCACGTTACCTGATTTAGCAACTCCTGCATTTAATTTCATAAACACTAGCCATTAACTGTATGCAAATGCAAAGCAGGTATTCAGCATTTAATGCTCAAAGGAAACTAATGGTCTGCTTCCAACATAATAGTACTCCATAAGCAAGATGCAAAAGGTTAGTTAAGCCTAATAAGCAGACCACAGTGAACACAGAGGAATTACATTCAACCAAAAGGACAGGATGAGCACCAACTTAAACTAATCATCATCAGCTAACATCACTGCCAGCCTGCTATGAACAGCTCTCACTTTTGGGCATTGTAACAAGCTCCCATCCTAACCTGATGCTGTTGATGCATAGCTTCACTAAACAGGTTCCACTGCACACTGCCATGCAAATTTGACACACCTTAGTTTTTGGAGACCTGGAGAAACTAGTTTTTCTTATGAAATACAAGCTATTATAAGTGCTTTCAATTATACTGGAAGATACTTCAGCATCGTAGAAAACGTTCCGTGTTTTTCATAGATCACAGACTGGTTTGGTTTGGAAGTGACCCTACAGATCGTCTAGTTCCAATCCCCTGTCAGGGGCAGGGACACCTCACACCTGACCAAGTTTCTCAGAGCCCCATCCAAACTGGCCTTGAACACTTCTCTTGTACACTTGTAATGTTTTTGATAAATTATCCCCACTCAGGAATCATCAACTTCAAACCAAAAAACTTCTTCCACTTTCTCTGTTCTTGCAGCAAAACAACAAAAGGCACTATTTTTAGTGTTTAGCGGAAAATTACCGCAGTTAAGGAGTGCAGTCGCAGAGTTGGAATTGAAAGGATTTAGAGTCAGAACGTGGTGGATGTGGGAGATCTAATAGAACTTTATCAGCCACATATTTGTGATGCCAAAAAGCAGCAGCAGGATTAGCTCCTTCCTACTACAGGCCATAACAATTTTCTGGACCTTTCAGCAATTAGCATTGCACTTATATTAGAAAAATCATGCCTTATTTGTGTTTGGAACACGTTTAATTTCACCTTTGAATCACACAATCAGGCATTTGTCTGTTTATGAAGGTATCCATGACAACAGTTTTCCTGTAGAGGTGGACTATAATCCACTCATATCTTAATCTGTGCAATGATAAGCAAAAATAAGTTCCTGAGGTTGATCAATATTTATACAATGTTAGTCATTTATCTGCAAGGGCATTAGAGTATGTTTACTTACCAGTGGCACTTCAAAGGGGTCTAGTTAGAACAAGTGTCCCTTTGGCCAGGTATTAACACCTTTGGAGTGTTAGAGTCTAAGACTAAGGAAGCAGATTTCACACTACATGGTTACTGGCAGGGGGGGAGACCGTGATCAGCAAGGTAGCTACGTTGTAGGGGCGGTGGTGGCAATTAAGACTTACTTCATTACAGATATCCAGTAAGAATCACAGCTCACTCCTGTTGGCTTACACAAATGACAAACAGCCTTGTGTGGGAGGGAAAACTACTAGTCTCAAAGGAAGAATAATATCCACCATAAATTATGGTAATAGTTTTATAGTCTCTGCTAGTTAAAACAATTACTTTTTTTCCCTGCCTTCCTTCAGCTTCAGAGATATAAACCATGCATTCCAGAAGTAACAGCACAGAAAGTCCAACCAGACCAAAGCTGAGCCAGCAAAGGTTGAAAGGCCACCATAAAGAAGAGGATGGTTGCAGTGGGAGAGGAAACATGCAAGGAAGGCAGAAGGATGATGTAGCCCAAGCCAGTACCATCCTAAGAAGCCCTAAGGCAGAGAAAAAGCAAAGAAGTTCTTTCAAGCAAAGAGAGGATCTCTCTCGTGATGACTTACTATTTCTTCTTAGTGTCCTCGAGGGTGAACTGCAGGTGATTTATTGTCTTATTTTATATCCTGGATTAAAACACACACACCCAATTTACCATAAAACACATGCTGCTTTCATATAAAGAAAACACCCTACCTAATTTGATACAGGACAAATACAAATGGCAAAGTACATAATAATGGAAATTATAGCTATTATTCCACCTATCAGCCAGAAGAGGTGATCTTTACACCACCCCTAAACGCAAATAAAATGTACTCACAATATAACTGTACCACACTAAAAACACTCATGGTCCACTGTGAAGGCTCATGTAATTCTCAAAGCAGAGAACTCAAAAAGCTTTCCTATTCTGATGCCACATTCTAAGTACTTTGAATACAAGGTATTTGTCACTGTAAAACCTACATGAGGAACACATTAGAGACCTTTAAGATCTATTAATTATTTCTTATCTCCTCTCTTTCCTGTGAAGTCACAAGCATTACTCCCTACAAATCAGAATGTGCCAGATTACAAGAAGTAACTCGCTCAACAGTATTCTAAGATGTTTTTTCTAGAAAAATAAAAATAGCCATTTTATTTCCCATAATATGAAGCTTAAGTGTTGCATGCCAGTTAGCCCACAAGATACAGAATTCTGAAGAGTGAGCATTCTTCTATCTGGAAAAGGAGCCAGATCCCAAGTGGTAAATGATGCCTAACCTGGTCAAATGTAATTTCAGGAAGTGGGAACCAGATTTCCAGTGAGCAGGCAGAATGTTTCTCTGGCAGGCTGACTGCATGGAAGTAGTGATGGTCACTTGAAAGTCCTCACAGGCAGAGGGAAAACTTAACTGCACAAAGTGGCATAAATGGGTATATTGCATGGTTTCAGAGTTTACTACCTAGACAATATCTGGGTAGTTCCATTCTTAACATATGCATTTATATTTACATAATAAAACATGCATGCTTAACAGAACACACATATAATATGAATATCTGATAGATGTGCCAACCTCTGAGAGCAGATCCAAGGCAAACTTATATAGAACACTTCTTTATGCAAACAACGATTTCTTTAAGAAACATTTATCTCCTTCTCACTTACCATTTTTTAAGTTAAAATGCAGATGCCACACCGCTTCAAAATCTTCTCTTCCTCTCAAAAGAGATGTGTACGTAAATATATTTTTATGTATTACACACACCTCATTACATTTGTGTAACATTAAAAAATGTATCTATAAAATAAACACACATTTAAATTCTTAAGATTTAAAGCTGAAACAGAGCAAAATGAGAAACTGAAAAATAAGGAGCCTGATACAAAGATCTTAAAGCATGTCTGACACACCAGAGGAAGCACTGTAAAAGAAAAAAAATTGAAAGTTCATTTTAATTCCTAATTTTCCACCTCCTGTAATGTCCAATCTCTGAAGATCAGCTGTCAATCCAACCATAATTAAGTTTCAAAGTTAGGTGCCATTATTCCCTGATTCCAGAACACTTAAGATGCACAAAGATCCCTCCTTCTAGGCTTTTTCCTAATGGTAAGTATTAGAAATAGATTTTTTTAGTATATTTTTTAACACAGTTACAAAAGAGAGCTACAGAAGTGCTCCAGTCAAGAACAGTCAGACTGAAAGCGTTACACTCTCCTGATACATTTTTCTCTTTCTGATTTCCTCTCTTCGTATTCTACCCTTCTAGGATTACATGTATTTCATTTTGGCTTTAACTGAGATCATTGCAGACAAGGGAAGTTTGAGACAGTTCATGCAGTTGTGCCACTCTAATGGAGGCAGTGGGCAACCTCCACCACCAGAGGATGCAGGAATAAAAAAGAAACAGACACAATCCCAGGAGAGGTGGTGACCTAAACCAGTTTTTCTTGAAGTTCTCATGAAAGAACATATTATCATTAGAAGTGGGATTTTAAAACAATGAGGAAATATTTGCAGCAGGTATTCTGTCCCCTCCAACTTAACATCTGGGAGCTAAAAACTTTACAGTAAAGACATGTTCTTTGTGGGTTTTGTTTTTTATTTGTGTTTAAAAAAAAAAAACAAACAACCAACAAAGAACAAAGGGAATCTATAAGTCACTTCAAATACTGCAGATACATACAGCACATTTCTGAAGCATAAAGCATGAGAGCATTGTTGACTGACAGGAAGAGAAGGTACGTGCACCTGCCAGCTTGCACAAGAATTTCTGAAATACATAGAAGAACATATTGAAAACATGCCTGAGAAAACACTGTAGCTACTCTTTGGTAACAGGATGTCATCAGATATTTTAGAAGATTTAGGAAATGAAACTACATCAACAAAAGGAAAAGTATAATGCACACTTTTAGGCTATACTTTTTGAAACTACACTTTTTGAAACTACATGGTTTTTGGAAACCAGATAACACCACTTTCCCCTAACTACTATCTTTTTAAATGCGTTTTTTTAGCATGCACTCACAAATTGAGAATACCCTTACAGCATTTACTTCCAAAACGCTCGATGCTGCAAGACTGCTTACTTGAGACATGGTCTCTCACTTGCACGTACACATGCATACACAGGGACCCCACTGCCAGCTTTGAAGGCAATTAATCTTCTTTTAAAGAACTGCCATTATTGCATGCCTTTGGAATGCGTGTTGCAAAGGGTCACATCCCCTGCACCACACACCTCACAACATTCAGCTGTCAAACAAGCTCAGTGTAACAACAGAAGCAGATGATCCCAGGTGGGTTTAAACTACAGAAGCCACCGTTGCACACAGAGTATACCAAATGTGTAACACTTCCAGGCTTCAAGAACTCTCTTGACATCTTTCACTAACAATTTAAAAACAGCTTCTAATACCACATATCAGAATTTACCCTGAAACTTTGAGTTGTGAATGCTACACACTGATCCAGAAACAGCAATAAGACCTAATCACTACCAAAGGACTTAAGTCCTTTGATAATGGTTCTGAAGATTTTGGAGTTTATGCAGAGCTAAAAAAAGGCAAGGACCAATACTTCCCTTATGCTTTTTAACTATCTTCACACTAGTAACTTTTTTCAGGCACTTTACATACACAGTATTTTTTTACAAGTTTTTGAGTTTCCTTAAGATCAAAGTAAAAAGCCAATCTATAAATACACATACAGAGTTTAACAAAATAAAACCTTACTTTCTGTTTCTGCAGGCTCAAGATGAAGTTATAGGAGTACTTAAGGCTGAAAAAATTGACTTGGCTTTGCTTGAAGCACAATATGGCTTTGTTACTCCCAAGAAGGTGTTAGAGGCTCTCCAGCGAGACGCTATTCAAACAAAGGCTGAGCAATGGCAAGAAGATGTCTATGAAAAGCCTATGAGAGAGGTATGAACATAGAATTGATGTTTAACTGTAGCTTCCACCCAATTCAACAGAACTTATCTCACTGACTTCAGGGAACGAAAGCATATGAGCTCTAAATCTAGAACCTAACATGAGTGTGACAGCAGAACAAAGTCCAGGGTCCCTAATAAAAACAGGTATCTATTCCTCATTTCTACTGTGCACGTGGGGCTTTAGACATAGACAGACTTGATTTTGTGTAACTCAAACTCTGTTAATCAGCCTTTTATTTCTGACACTGCCTTCTTCTTCTCCCTGTTATCCATATTCAACCCAACCAAACAGATGCTTCCCTATTTGTCTCATTGAGAAAATCTTACCAACAGCTGGAAAAGGCCCACTTAGCAGTAATGGCAGTAATGCCTACCTTGAAATATTCCTGCTCCCACTAATTCTGGGGGAGTCATGGGTTAGTTAGGTCTGCTTGATCTGAGTAGCTACTGTAATGAACTGTCATTAGAAACTCAATTCAGGCAGAAATCTAATATTCTCACATTATACCTAAGTAATGTTTAGTTTAATTACACTGCAGCAGTAGTCATATTTTTCGAACAGTGTTATGTGGATTTTATTTCTGCCCTGCAATGCAGATCACTGGATGTTAAAAACCCTTCATACCAGAATACGCTGTTTTTTCCCAAGTATACATCTCCTCTTGAATTTACATAAACATTTTCAATATGCTGCCCAATATAGATAATAATGATAAAAATATAAAAGAAGAAAATATGCAAAAAAAATTATTCTAACTAGTGTTTTACAAGATTTCTGAACAGAAATGTATGTAAGGATACAGAGCTCATTTCAGAGAAAATTATGTCAGGCAAAAGGTCAGCACTGATTTCAGAGGTTCGAAGGTTAAAATCTCTGACTACAATCTGAAACAGATTTAGTTCTGTGGACGTTAATTTATTTTAGAATATTGTGGCATTATGTCACAGAAACCTAGGAGTGCAAATGGAAATTACTGGAAGTCAAAAAAAGTTTGAAAACACAAGTTCAGTTTGTTACTTTACCTAAGTTTATACATGCTGTTTCCTTCTTACACTTAATGGCAGAGAACGGATTTCTGACACCACTGGCAATTCCAAAAGGCAAAGTTAAACACCCCAAGAGCAACTGAAAGACTAGAAAGGCACTGACACTTCGTATAACTTGGTAAACCTGAAGACGCCATAATCAGCAGGCATTCCACAATTTCCATTACAAAATCCCCCCAAATTAAGTTAGAGATCCATTTCATTTTTGCCTGGATTTCTTAAACATTTATAAAACCCAAGTGAGATGAGGAACCAGCCACAAAGTATGGAAACTGATAATTTAGATCTCCCCTTTGCTACCATGACATGTGTATCTGCTTACAAAATCTCTGCTGATTCAGCTCTTCTAAAGCAGGGTCTCATCACTGACAACACAGCCTTGTAGCCCTGACCATAGAGGATCTTCCCAAAACTCAATTGAAAATACAGTGAATTTCAGAAGGCAAGACTAAGATTACTGGTCCTTTACAAGTCTCTCAGAACTCGCTCATCTATCAAACTTTGTGAAGTTCCTTGGCAAATTTGGTTAAGAATGGAGTGGGGAAATTTGGTGACTGCACAGTTTTACTTACTAGCAACAGGATTCACAGATGAAGAAATGTAGTAAACCAGAAAACAGTAGTAATACATTGTCCTTTGCAAAATTTATGAGTGTGACAGACCAAAAGCATGTCTTCACTGGCTATGAGATTTTTATTTATTTTTGAAAGCAGAAGGGTTTTCAGCTGCATTTGCTCTACAGTTATTTTCTTCCACAACCTAGCACATGCCAGATAAGCCAATCTGGTTTCAGACAAATTGCCACTTCTCTTAAACAGAAAACAAAAAGTATTCAGCATTCTAGTAAACACAGAATAATAGTGTAAGAACCATTTTCCCAGATTTAAAAACAAAAAAATAAAGTTTAAAAAAAAATATCAAAAAACCATCAGAGAAAGTAATGTAGGACAAGAGAAATAAAGAGGAAGGTAACAGAATTTCTTGTGTCGTTTTCTCATGTTTCAAACTGGCGTGGAATTAGAAATCCACTTCTGGTTTCTAACCCTCCCCAGCTTCCAATAACACAGTCAAAGATTAAAAAAAATTGGTGGCTCACTATTTGAAATGTGATGAACAAACCTCCTACCCCTTTGAAAACTCTAAAAGCAGCAAAACTAGAGGAAAGTCTATATTCTGCATCCACCAAGGACAACACAACATTTAATTTATTTTTTTTTATTTTATTCTGGTGCAAATCAACTCAAGGAAAGATGCATTCTCCTCAGCCTTTTAACAAAGTAGATCTGATTGCATCGTCAAAATGTCTTACAAGTGTTGGTCACGGCTTTCTAATGATGACAGCTGTAGGGCATCAGTAAGTTACAGTCATAGGAAGAGACATACAGGAGAAGCAGGCCAACATACCCACGTGGAAACTTGGCTCAAATAGGGCTGAAACAGACAAGGAAGAAACATCTCCCATAATCTCCAGCAATCCTAAACTCAAGATTACAAATCTATAAACAATGACCATGAGGATATTATTACCATGAATACTATTTCACTGAACTTTGAATAAAGAAATGTAACCAACCTGGATTTTACTCTGGTTGTGCCAAACACACAACAAAGTTAAAAGACAAAAAGTTCAGTTTCAATGAAATGGATATGAGACATACCATCCTAGTTTTGACTTCAGACACAAGTTGGTGGCAAAATGTATTTAAACTATTACATTCATGTGAATTTTTAGCTTGCTGAACTATTCACACTTACGTAAGTCCATGTCTCTTATTTTCCATTGTATTGTACAGTATGTTCAAAAAGCCCATATGGTTAGCAAGAAAAAAATAACAAATCACTTAATTAAGATTTTATCACTTTAATTCTCAACAGAAGACATTTATACTGCTGCTTATTAGTCCTCTACAGATTTTGCCAAGAACTGTATATGCTGAGTAAATGTGTGTGTGCATACAAATTGATACTTCTGCATATGCAGCTTTAGCATTTAGACAGAGTAATCTGAGGAACAAAGGGGCTGCTAGAGACTGCTCCTGGGAGAGGATCTCACGCTAGCAGGGGTTCACACAACTTCTCTCTTTTCCCTGCTGGATACATAGGAGTCAGCCACAAGATCTCACAGAGAAAATGCAGGAGTCAAAATTTGCTTCACAAGGCAGTGCCATTATCTCACAGAGGGGCATAACAGGGCTTAAAAAAAAACCCACACAGGATTGCAGCAACCCAGTACCAGACTCTGGTCTGCTTGGTCCTACAGGGACCTGCTGCACAGTAACACAAGCAAGTGTCACAAGGCCAACCAGCCCTACCCACTGTGCAGCTTATGTGCAGATCTCAAGTGTCTGCAATAACTGCAAGGTAGGATCTGCTGCGTCTCCAAAGGCTCATTTCCATCAGGCATTAATGTTTGGAAACAGAAGTCACTTGATTTATGATCAGCTTGTAGGCAGAAATTTCAGGGTTTTCTTATGACAGCAATTTACACATCCTCTCAGGTTCTTCCATATACTTTTAAAGCAGTGGTCCAATCCATTACTTGCTTAACCCCATCCATGCAGACTGCCTGTCAAAAGAAATCTCAAGTTGTTGCCTTTGCCTTCTTCCCCACTTGATCTCATGCTGAGGGCTGAGACCAGCAAGCTGTACCATGCAAGGCAGATGCCCAGTTCACAGCAACTGAAGTATGACAGACCCATAGTTGCAAACAGCATCACATCAGAACTTTACCAAAAAAACAAGGCAGGTTGCCTTCCGAGAACAGCATGTATTCATTCAACAGTGTGACCTTTCAAAAGCTGAGGATCAGAAACTCTGAAGATGGTGATTCACACATCTGTGCAACTGCTGTTTCCAAAAAACCCTCAGACATTTTGGAGAGGGAGGAAGGTTGATAAAATACACTGAAAATTCTCTCATTCTGGTAAACTAGCAGCTGAACAAAAGATTTTAAATTTTGAAATTTCCACTTCCCGTGGAAGAAGAGTGTGGAGAAATTTAAAAGGGCCAGTTTTCTTCAACTTGACCTTTTAAGGCAATTCAGTTCTCAACCTCTGTAAAAGACATGGGAAACACAGCCAAGAGATTACTGTATAAGGCGGTGCTTGCTTACTGAGAAAGCTTGCATATGCAAGGGTTTAGGTAAGAGATGTTTTCCCATGAGAGGTCCTACTACACAATTATAGTTCCAGAAAGCATTGACCTTGCTGGTGTGAAAGTGTGCAACATATGAGTGAATGAGGTGATATAAACCATAACAACCTGCTGAAAGAGAGACACTAAACAACCAAAAAGGACAATCGTAGATTTCTTTACACTTTTGATCCTGCATGAGCTCAGCTATTTCGCAACAGAAAAGACACTCTCTAATGCGTTAAGAAAAAAGAACAGGCAGTTTTTCAAAATTCACATTTCTGTTGGAATATTTTTGACTCAAATGATCTTCAAAGTCTTGTCACTAGTTACTTTTTCTTTATTCATCAAAGTGTGACCAAAAAAGTTAACAATGATGTACAAGAAACATAGATCTAAAAAGCTTACAAAGAAGCTGAGGTAAGCAGGGGGAGACTTGGAAGCCCATGTAGAAATTGAGGAAATTCTCACTTACTCAAGAAACTCATGTTTAGGCATTCCAGCTCAGGAGAAGATAATTAATCATACTCCTTGGAATTAAACTGTCCAAAATAAGCAGTCGTCCTAAGAATCTGAAGCCTCAGTGTTTCTTCTGACACATGAAATTCCTTGTGGGGGAAATGTTGGAGACCCAGAACCAGCGTTGCTTCCCACATTGCCCATTTGTGAATACTTTCCTATTAATAGAGTAAAGCACTGCAAAGCAGCTTGACTTACTAGAACAGACTGTTGTTAAAAAGAGTCACTGGGCTTTGAGCTTTAAATTTCTCTATTCCAAAAGGGATACGAGGATTCCTGTGTTGACTTGATGAAGGAGGCAGTCTCCACAGGGGAAGAGGAATGAGCAGGGAACAAAGATTCCCACTAATACAGACTTTATCCAGGTCTTCAGTTGGCCTTCAGTTTATGTTCCTCAAGCTTCAGCTAGATCAGTAATGCCTAAGGAGGAAAACTTCTGGTTTCATACACATACACTTGAATAACTCAGTGTTGTGGTTCCTTGTGTCTCTCCTGCCTGGCTTGCCAATAATGTCATGGTCTGGGACAACATGACAACAAAGGAACAGCCCCATGGCTGCTCACCCAACTACCCCCCTCCACACACACTCTCTGGGATGAGGAGGACAAAGCTCCTGGGTTGATACAAAGGACAAGGAGGGCTCTTCACCGATTAAGGTCCCAGGCAAAACAGACTCAACTTGGGGAAGAAATAATAATAATTTAACTTAATACAAATCAAACACAGACAGGACACAGACACACACAGAGCAGGGCTTGCAGATGTTACCTCACCCATCCCTTCCTCCCAGTCCCAAATCCCTTTGTTCCTGGTTTCTCTCCCTCCTTCCCCCCAGCAGCACAGGGGGACAGGGGATGGGGTTTAGAGTCAGTTCACAGGCTGGTGGCTCTTGCCACTCCTTCTTCCTTGGGAAGAAGGATTCCTTCCCTGAAAGGAAGGAGGAAGGAAGCCCTTCCCTTCTTCCCCATGGGGTCCCTCACATGGGAGAGAGTCCTCCATGAACCTCTCCTTCATGAGTCCTTCCCACAAAGTCTGGAGCAAGCTGCTCCAGTGTGGGCTTCTCACAGAGTCACAGGCTGCTTGAGGAACGTCTAACTCCCCTGGCACCTGGATCTTCCAAAGCTGCAAAATCAGAGTTCACAGGCAGCAAATCCACTGGCTGCAAAATCCAAGTCCAGTGGCCAAGTTCACCCCTCCTGGTGCCTTCAGGGAATGTTCCACCACATTCCTATTGTCCACGCATCTGTTGTCCCTCTAATGGCTCTTTGGCTGGGTTTGGAGTAGGGGGAGCTTCTCAGCTTCTTATAGGAGCCACTCCTGTGACCCTTCCCTAGCTACCAAAAAACCCACCAAACCAGAACACTCAGTCACATAAAGAACTCAAAATTATGACAGAATTCTCAGAAAGATAACTTTATCTTAGTCTGTGAAAATCATTTTAACAGCATAGCTCCAGTGAACAGTTATGCCAACACTTCTGTGTTTAGAAAAACCTAGAACTATTGCTGAAGCCAAAAACAAATTATTTAAATTAAAATATCGCTATATAATAATATTTAGAAGCTCAGCAGAAATCCTTGGGGAAGGAGAGGGAATCTGACGTTCAAAGTGTGCTATAAAGGTGCCATCTGCAAGGCACCCCTTTACAATGTCTAACATTTGAGGAACAAAACAGGAAACACTACTTTTTAATAAAAATACTGAGAACCATTTCAAAGCTTAGTGCTTAGCCACTCCAGAAACCCAGAGCCATGCTCAAAGGAAGCACAGGAGACAGGATTGCCTTCCACTCTTGTTTTTATCACACATTTACTGTGAAATCTGAGGAAAACTGCTTTTTTATCCACCTGTCTACCTTACAAAGATAATTCAATGTTCTTGTTTCCTATGCAGCTACAAATAAGGCAGCTATTTCTATTCAACCAAAACTCAGTCTACTTCTGTGTGAAGCAAAGGCTTCTTCTGCCAAGACATCTGTTTCTCTACCATAATGATCAATGAGAAAACCACAGCCCTGGGAACACTAACTGCTAATTAGTAGCTGTTTAGGATCGGTCATGGCAGGAGGAGGAACAGGAGGTGACAAAGGGTCCTGCAAAAGAGTACCTTAACCTATTTTTCTAATTTGCCAGATTTCATCTGACAGAACTAAATAACCCTTTCAAAACAGACACCAAAGGATCTGTCCATTAGGCTATTAAATGCATTTTATATTATTAAGCCTTTCAAAATCTTTCATTAATGAAAGCCTGAGTTTTTGCATTTTTTTGCAGCTTGATAAAGTTGTAGAGAAACAGAAAGAAACTCACAGAAGAATGCTGGAGCAACTTCTAATGGTAGAAAAATCACACAGACAGACACTGTATGAACTAGAAGAAGAGAAGAGGAAGCACAGCAAATACATGGAAAAAAGTGATGAGTTCACAAATGTACTGGAACAAGAACGGGAAAGGTAAGGTTACTAAGAAATACTTAGAATTTAACCTTCTTATTCTGCATCCGTTGTAAGTCAGAAATATTTGCAGAGTTGTATTTTGAGACGTCAGCTGTGAAAACATGACTAATTATACCTGAGTAACAGTAGTGCCTCCATCACCATCAGCAGGTGAGATAAGTCAAATGGTTCACGGATTCTTCAGCACTGTGGCAGGAAGACAGGTATGTTACACTACAGAGAATACAGGGAGATACACTAATGTGTAAAGTCACAGCAGGTGAACCCTTCCATCATATTTAAGATGCTCAGTGTATACTGCAGTAGGTAAGTAACAGAATATGAAATCAGACACACAACCTCTGATGGCAGAAGAAAAAGACATGATGAAAATAGGAAGGTGGTTGGACAGACCACAGAAACAGAGGAAGCAAAGACAGAGGATAATGTACAGTAAGCTTTGAAAATAAGAACGTCACAAAGTTCAGGTATCAGGATTGGCACAAACCCAACAAATCCAACTTTAAGTGCAACCTAAAAATGCCACACGGTGTGAGGGTTTCAGTACCAATTCTCAGAAGACAGACAGAAGAATTTAATGTCATTTACTGTATTTTAAAAAAGCCATTTTAAACTGTGGCTTCTATGAATCTGCACTTAGAATGAACACATACTGAAGAAAAAAATATCTAAAAACATTTCCTATTCCCTGGATAGCTACTCCAGAAGATAGGAGAATATTGTGTCTGTTTCCTTTTGCTTAGGAACAGCTTCCAGATGGAAATGTTTGGGTGTGAGAATGTTGAGCCTCTTCTAAACTCACAGCATGCATAGATAATTCTTCCTCTGCTTTGCCTGTGTAACATCATGTTCCATGTATTTTGGCAGCGTTCACACTTCGAGCTACACCTCTCTCCTGCAGGTCTATCTAACATAGCACATATGCTTCCTATGGAGTACGCAGCCATATTTATGGATTGCAATTAAAACACCTAAGGAAAAAACCCTTTGCTTCTCAGAAAATGTATACAGATGCAGGCAAGCACAGGCACACACAGAAAAGCACATACAAAGTCCCCTCACAAGGCACAGAACTGAATTTTTTTCTCCAAGAACTGTTTTCTGTGAAACATTGTCGTATCAGGACCAAAACTTGAGATGAATGGAAGCTTTTATCTCTGCTGTCTTTTCCTCAAGAAGTAGGAGACACTCATCTCCTAGAGACACAGCTAACTACAGTTGCTAAAAGTGGCAAAATGTTACATCAGACACATGTGCTCACACAGCATGAAAAGCTGCACAGAAGGAAAGACTAAGCATCAGAGTCTTTGTAGGTTTTTTTTCCTCATGAAAACAGGGTACACAGGGGATTAAAGCTCTTTTCCCTCCATATTCCCCCCAAGGAGACAATAAAACAACAGTCTTATCTGCAACATCTAGTCTATCTGCCTGGAAAAGGGGGGGAATAGGAGAGGGCCAGGCAGGGGAATACTGAGATGTCTAATGAAACCTTAGAGGATATAATAATAGATTTCAGATTAAGTCTCAATTTTCGTATTTTCTTTGGAGGACGTATTTTATGTGGAAAACCTTAAGGGGGTGTGATGTCACGTGTTGAGCTGATTCCAAAATGTTTGCCAAGTAATGTTGCCATCAAGATCTCTAGTCAATTGCCTGCCATAACAAAAAAAGCAAAAAAAAAAACAAAAAAAAAACCAGCCCAAAAAAACACCTACCAACAAAAAAGCTCACAACTAAAAACCGTTCACCACGTTAAAGCACAGCTTTCCTTCTACATTAGCCTGCCTAAATTGACATTCAGATTACAGACCCATACACAACAAAGTGAACTCTTCTTCCATTTCACAAAACTTAGTCCCAGTTAAAATTTTCTCAGGATGTGAATTTTGCATTTGGATTAAGAACAAGTAGAACTCTGAAAAGTTTCATACATAAAGTAGTGACCAATTTTTGTTCCTCCCCTCAATTCAAGTAAAAAAATAAATTAATCAGAAAAGTATTAAGCATTCATAGATGAGCTACAAAAAAAAAACCAGCCCAAAAAAACACCTACCAACAAAAAAGCTCACAACTAAAAACCGTTCACCACGTTAAAGCACAGCTTTCCTTCTACATTAGCCTGCCTAAATTGACATTCAGATTACAGACCCATACACAACAAAGTGAACTCTTCTTCCATTTCACAAAACTTAGTCCCAGTTAAAATTTTCTCAGGATGTGAATTTTGCATTTGGATTAAGAACAAGTAGAACTCTGAAAAGTTTCATACATAAAGTAGTGACCAATTTTTGTTCCTCCCCTCAATTCAAGTAAAAAAATAAATTAATCAGAAAAGTATTAAGCATTCATAGATGAGCTACTTCTTTTCTCAGCCATAAGCAGTACCCTCTTCCAAGTGTGGAAGGGTATATAAAATTCCTAACAGTATTTCAGTTTCTAAGCAAAATCTGAAATTCCATTCAATTAGTGAAAAAAGTGTCTTGCTTTCATCAAGGTCACAGATGCTAATGATATCCTTGAAGAGCACAGAATGGATGTAAGACAACTAAGGTACATGATTAATGTGATTATGTGGTTAAAATAAAATTAAAAAATTAAAATTATGAGACAGTGATGCTCAAGCACTGAAAACTACTCTTGACAGCACAAATAAAGAAATTATCAGTCAATTCCAACTCTTACATATCACAGAATCACAGAATGTTAGAGGTTGGAAGGGACCTCTGAAGATCATTGAGTCCAATCTCCCATCCAGAGTAGGACCGAAAAACCCACACACAACTAGGGCAGATCACTCAGAAAGGCATTCAGACACGTCCTGAAGGTGTCCAGAGAAGGAGACTCACAGCCTCTCTGAGGACCCTGTTCCAGTGCACTGCAACCCTCACAGTAAAAAGCTCTTCCATATGACTGACCTTATTTTCAAGTAAAGCAGAGAGAAAGCATCTCCTTGTTCTTATGTATGTGCTCAAGAAGTAGAGAACTGAAGAATTCTTATATGAAAATTTTAGTGCTGAACTAATTCATCAGACAATCATGCTTTACAAAAACTATGCAAGCCTCCATCACAAGGGCCTTTCTACTGCCTTACTATCTCCATACAACACATTTCTCATTAGAAGAGTTAGAAAACATGTTTGGATCATGCAAAACATTAGCAGTCTTCACTGTGTCCATTAAAACCCTTCACCTTAATAATACAAGAACCCCTTTGATTCCATAGCAAGACAACAAGGCTAAGTTTGGCCCCAGCAGTTGTATATTGTCAGATGTGGGAGTTTAAACTTATGACAGGACTAGAGACACCTTTCTAAATGTGAGAACTGGTTAGTGTTTAATGTTAACTCTTTAGGCGTTTTAAGCATTTTTCTTGTTGCCAGCCAAACATAATCCTTCATAGTCCTACTACAACTAAGAGGCAAAAATTAAGTCTTCCAAATTGAAAAGTCTCAACATCTAGCAACAGACATTCACCACTAGAAGAATGATAAAGTCATGCTACTATCAGTATTTTTATTAATCTTCACTCATACACACTTTTAAAGCATGTAGTCACTGACCAACCCCTATCAGATAAGAAACAGTTTTCTGGAGAAAGGGAGGCTGATGGGCAACAACTGGATAGATCTTTCTTACAGTTCAACATGAATTGCACTCTGCACATGCGCAGAAAAGACAGGAATACACAAAGACAAGCTACACGTCCATTACAAAGTACTAGACAAAGTCTACTGGAGTGTAGAAGGGACAATGTTTTTGTACTGCTGAAGCCTAAAGAAACAGCAGCTCCTAAACTCACAGGAATGTGAAAGAACTCCAGAAGTTAGGTACAGAGACTACTGGGTGCACCTGAAGAACTATAGCATAAAAGCCATTGAGCTTGTTTAGAGGCTCTTGCATATGATGGGTTTGGGGGATGAAAGGCAGAATCAAGAAGTAGAAAGAATAGATTAGATTAGATTCAAATCCAGGTTCCACTCTATTTTCCCTGAGGATGAACTTACTTATTCAAATACATTTATACACATTCTGTGTTTTTGTAGGACAATGAAATAATAAAATCTGCCATTTTTAAAAACATATTACCAAGCTAAAACACATCTACATGCACACAAGTATGTGTTTATATATTACTCTCCACTCCCCAAAAAAACAAAACACCAAACCAACAATGGAAGAATACAATGATTAGCACTACAACAGCCCCTTTCCTCTGCAAATCTCAAGGAGTTTTAAGTATTACACAAGAACAGTTATTACCAATTTTCTGAACACTAAAAGGAATGGGAGATGTAAGTTGAAGAAAACAGTCACAGTCACCATTTTAAAAAGTGAATGCTCAATAGAACAGAAAAAACAATAGCAGTTTGCTAATAAGCAATGCAAATTGATTTTTAAAGGCAGTTATGATAAATGTTGCTCACAGGAATCAAAATATTAGCATAAAACTCTGCAGGTGGTATAGCAGTAATAAATAAGATCTTTAGTGTAACAATCATCTACTAAGATGAGGGTTCTTTGCTACAGAGAGGAAAGCCGTAAGTTTTTTGCTTTAGCCCAGAATTCACACTCACAAAGGCCACATCGAGATAACAGTCCAAAGAAGAAAACACTGTTTACATATAAGATAAACCTAACATTTCCTAAAAGGAAACTTACTCCTTATGCTTTAAGCAAATGAAAAACCCTGAGCCAAACAACCAAACTCCACTGTATCAAACATTTCTTCTTAAAACATGAAGTAAAGGGCATTTTCAGTGTTAGGATAAAACTTACTAACTGATACAAGGAATCAGCATTCCCTGAGCATAAAAAAATGGAACTTGATCTGCAAACATCTCATGACTGTAGTCTTTCTTATCTAACAAAACACCATAAAACACTGTGGTTGTTGCTCCAACTGCTGTCCCCCTCAAGGTTACTAAGTTAATACCATGTGTTGTCTAGTGATACAGGCTAGAAGAGTTCTCTAGAGGTCTTCAGCACAACCTGCTGAG